AAACACAAGCCCAACCTCATCTACATGAATCAGTAGAAAATGTTATAAAAAAAAGATCAAGATGTGTAACTACATTAGAAGCTAAAAATACATTACTTCCGTTGATTCAATTAATCCAACAAGGAGAAGAAATTTCAGAAGAAAAAATTTTAACAATATTACCTACTTTAAATATGAAAGCAGATTCAAGTAATATGTGGGATGCTGATAGAGTCAAGAATTATTTATTACGAAATCGCCCTAATAAAAAGTAACGAAATGTGTTTTTCTTTAAACAAATTTTAAAAATCGTGTATGTATATTTTTTGAAAATTCTATTAAGTAAGTTGTCTTTATGGTACTAATGAAGTCCAAAGAACAAGCTTCGCTCTAGTTTATTGACTATTGTAATCAGCATACAGTGATGATTAATTTTAGTGTTTTCAATTAATTTATTTTTGCGAATTTATTTAAAAACTATTACTATCCTGCTTGCTTCTTTCTGTACCTAGAAAGCTTTGTGAATCTTTAAGCACATTTTATGGTACCAATAAATAAATTCAGTTCTCTACAAAGCAACAAAGTCCCCTATAAAGCTTCTATTTTATTTACTTTAATATTAATTTTCTTTGGCCAATTGAATTCAACCATATGTTTGTAACAATGAATAACAATATATAACAAATAATTGAATGCTAAAATATAATCATAAACAATTGAAAAGATGAATGAACATCATATACAAGATGGGTCCTGTATATTCCGTCTATAAAGAAATATACAGGAGGGTCCTCTATATAATATGGGACCTTATTCCGTCTATAAAGAAAAAATATACAGGAGGGTCCTGTATATTCCGTCTATAAAGAAATATACAGGAGGGTCCTCTATATATAATATGGGACCTTATTCCGTATATAAAGAAAAAATATACAGAGGGTCCTGTATTAAGATGGGTCCTGTATATAATATGGGTCTTGTATTTAAGATGGATACTGTATATTCCATTTGTAAAGAAAATATACAAGAGGGTCCTGTATATAATATGGGTTCTATATTCCGTCTATAAAGGAAAATATACAGGAGGATCCTGTATATTCTGTCTATATATAAAGAAAATATAGGGAGGGTCCTGTATATTCCGTTTATAAAGAAAAATATACAGGAGGGTACTGTATATTCCGTCTATAAAGAAAAATATACAGGAGGGTACTGTATATTCCGTCTATAAAGAAATATACAGGAGGGTCCTGTATATTCCATCTATATATAAAGAAAATATAGGGAGGGTCCTGTATATTCCATCTATATATAAAGAAAATATAGGGAGGGTCCTGTATATTCCGTTTATAAAGAAAATATGGGGAGGGTCCTGTATATTCCGTCCATAAAGAAAATATACAGGAGGGTCCTGTATATTCCGCCCATAAAGAAAATATACAGAGGGTCTTGTATATAATATGGGTTCTATATTCCGTCTATAAGTTCTGTATATATATTTTCTACAAGATGGTTTTGGTAGCATAATGGAAATTTGAAATGTTACACTAATTTTTTATATTGTGCAACGTAGCTTTACAATACACGGCAAACATT